CAAATTTATTGTTGTTTAATTCTGTACTCTGTTTTTTGTGAAAATTTTGAAATAAATCAAATCAATCAAATAATTGCTGCATCTTTGCATTGGTTATATATTAAGATTTGGTCAAAGCCTAATTTTCTGCAATATCTGCGTGGAAATTGCCCTTTTTTTTCCACAGACAGATTTCTAGGCCAGGTTTTTGCATGGCAGATATTCCCCACGCAGGCCTTACTAATAGGCCTAGGCCCTATTCAGTCCTGGTAGGATTGGGAAATTTACAAACACAGGTTGGTAGGTGAATTATGCAGCCGTCAGTTGTATGACGCACTGTACGACCCTTGGGAAATGTGTGTCACTTGACAAATGTGCATCGAACATATGTATGCCATGACGCACCCCTTCGTCAAAAATGGGACTGACCATTGTGTTAAATTGATGCGCAAAGAAATTATTTTGTGACGCATCATCTCTTGAAATTTACTGACCTTGACTGTACATTAAGGAGATAATGAGTTAATACTCGTAGAGACTGCCTCCTCTCAATGTTTCCATGTTTCGGTCATAGGAAACTTTGAAGTGGTAGAGTGTTGTGCATGAGACTACATGTTGTGGTAAATTGTCCCATGGTTTGATTACTCTGGTATCAAAGAAAGAGTCTCTAAACACCGTTTTGTTTCGGGGAGTTAAAAGTTTAGAAGAATGACCACGTGTATGATGAGTCCTAAGTTCAGGATGTGAAATGTTAAAGAAACGCTGAAAGTCGATGTTTTCAATCCCATGAATTGGTTTAAAAACCTCTATCATGTCCCCTCTAATCCTTCTGTCTTCAAGTGATGGTAAACCAAGGACACGTAATCTATCCTTTGCAGTTAGGTCCTGAAGGTTAGGAACAAGTTTCGTAGCACGATTTTGAACTTTTTCCAAGACATTAATGTCCATCTGATAGTGTGGAGATCATACCTGTACAGCATATTCCATCAAGGGTAACAAGGGTTAAATTGTAAAGAGGGATGAACATTTGCTTATCCATAAAATGTTTTTCTAATTCTACCAACCAAAGAATTAGATCTAGCAACAACCTTGGTAATGAGTCGATGGCTTAAGATCTGGAGTAATAACTATTCCAAGATCACGCTGTTCAGTGACAACTGACAGCTCAACGTCCCCCATAAAGTAAAGAAAATTGTGGGTTTCTAGAACCAACATGAAGAATGCCACACTTAATAGTCTCATTGAAACTAAGCAACCATTTACTGCTCCATTTCAAAAGCTTATCTATATCCTCTTGAAGAATATCAGCATCAATTTTTGTTTTAATTGTCCTGAACACTGATCGCATCGTCTTGAACAGTATTGCTCCTTTTACGTGCAAGCATGTTTTAAGTCGGACTATGATCGTCTCTCTCTCTCTCTCTCTGGGCCTAGTTGCGGTGTCCTATATCTGTCTAGGCCTCATAATGTTTTTAATGTAGGATATGTATATATAAAAGAAGTACTTAAAGTTAAATAGAGAAACACTACTTAATTATTGTGTCCAAACTGCTATAGTCTTTGGTAAAAATAAAATCAAAATTTTGACTTCGAAAACGATGATCCTCAAGCCATCATGCACCATTCCGTTTCCAGCTAACCTAGGTTTTTTGACGGTAGCCTTCATCAAAATATGTAATTGACCCAACAATGGAGGCACCTTTCCTGGGGGTCATATAATGCATCATACAACTGACGCTCTGCAAATTATATACCTATGCCCCCTAGTAAGTCCAGCCTAATATTAATAATAATTATAATTTAAAGCCCACACCACTCATTTCATTTTCGTTGTGCTTGTAAGTATTTATGGAAAAGCTAATAAGTAATACTAGGCACTTTATTGCTTTATGCAAAGTTTTAATAGTTCGTTTTACAAATGATCGTCATTTTACAATTCAGACTAAGTATGGCTGCGTGGGGAATATATCTTCAGCGTAAAAATTTAGCCTAGGAATCTGTCCACGCATTTCGGAAAATAAGGAACAATATCCAAACAGATTTTGCCAAAAATTAGGGTTTGACCTGCAGTGCTGATAATCTTAATATAGGCCTATATCCAATATGTATTATATGGTACTGTAGTACGATTTTGCGCTCCTACTTTTCTAACAATTTTCAGCTCAGATTTGAGCAAGATTTTGAGGTATCATCCGTGCAATTAAAATACTGTACTTCATAGATGAATTACAATCAAGGGGATCTCTAGTTAAAATCGCCATAGGCGGGCTGCACACAAAGTTTTAAATTAATTTTCTATTTTTAATTATGCAAATTTTTAGTGTGAGGGGAAGGGGATGTGCCTGGGAGAGCAAGCCTTTTGGTGGAATGTGTCCCCAAGCCCCTGTAGAAATATTCTCACCGAAGGCTTTATTATTAAAATACGACTTTAGCCCGTCAGTCTAAATGTTGTGAGCACACAAAATTGGAATTTACAGATAATGCTCAAATTACGATACTTGTTTGTGTTTAGACTAATTTCGGTACACATGTTTCTCCTATGTGAAATAGCTAGTACTACTAGTATAAAATACAGAAAGAAAATAAGAAATTCAAATAATTAATTGATACATATATACAAATACAAATCATATCTGGTTTAACAGATTTTTGGTAACCAGACAATCATCATCTACAACTAAGCAACCCATATTCCTAATAAAGATATTAAGGTAGGAGAATAACCCATCATTCGCAGTGTCAGTGTCCATTTAACTACAGTACCAAGCCGCTGTTACTACAACGACAGTTTCTAAAATGAACCGCACAGCATCGAGTTAAGCCCATACTCTACCGAAAGATGCAATGTGATCTTTCTATAAGGGCACACGAGCCAGATGTGTGGACTGGACCTCCATTTTACATCCTTATCTGCGAAGACTTTGCTCTACCTAGTACCAACCAAACCCCGGTCGAGGAGTGGCTCGAACCAGCGTTAAGGCTGTAGATAGTTGCGTCCCTGCCCTACTGATCGGCCACTCAACTCACCAGACATGCATGTCTGGCTTTGTGGAGGGGATTACTGTACATTTTTTAGAGAGCAGCTTAGCTCAGTCGGCTAATCTGGGGGTAGCCACTATGAATGCGCTGAACCGGGGAGATCTCTAGATCCCCGGTTTAATTCCCATCGCTGCCTCCTTGTGTTTCAGCTAGAGGGCTGAAATACAAGTTACATAGTCACCATCTTTCGGATGAGACATTTAAGCCGTTGGTCCCGTGTGCATTTATGGCCCATGTGCACGTTAAAGAACACAGTACACTCTTTGGAAAAGAGTAGGGGATTGTCTCCCTTTGTACTGTCCAATCACCACCAGAAGGACCCCACTGGAAATAAGTCTTCTAGACTTTCGTGGGCTATCCTTGGTGTTTACACCAAATAAATCCAGTTCCCAGTTCCAGTTCCCATAGCTGATGGTAGGCCTTCTTATCGCCAGTTACAGATGTTTACTTATTATAGTTCTTTCATATTAATGATTAATAAAGTATTGATTATTAATATTAATAAATAATCATCATTGCAGTATCAGTTGAATTAAAACTGCAATTTTGATGATATTAAATGTCTGAATTTATGTACTCTTGGTTGTTGTGTCATTATGTTAATTTGTAAATGCAATTAGATGAAATATTTTATGAAAACATTGTGATTACAGATTTATATTCAGAATTTGTCCTCACAAAAAAAAAAAAAAATTGTAACTGACACAATTGCTCACTTTGAAGATTTTAATCTAAACTTAAGGTTCAACTTTATAATTTTACTCTTTTAATTTGTTTATTTTTATCATATTATCTGTTTTTATTTTGTAAAGGTAGTTAGTTGTAGATTTGTTTTTATCATAGTGTGGTATTAGTTTTTTATTGACTTTCTAAATTGATAGCATTTTACTGTAGTTTTGGGCACTTCACATCAAACTCATAGTCAAGTTGTATAGTTTACAACAATGTGCCATCTAGTGTTACTATGTGTGTTTTTGTATATTAATATTTATCATGTAAATCAAAACAAATCTAATAATATTTTACTATTTTTACATCTTGATTGAAATGGACACAAATTGTAGTCATCACTTTTTCTTACTCTTTTATTTTAGCTTTTATTTATTTAACTACATTTGTATTATTTTCAATGGAAATTTCTTTTTTTTTTAGTCAAAGGAGAAGATGATGAGAGGATCTCGTAGAGGTTGTGTCAGGTTAAAGGTGAGAATGTGAAAACAATAAATTAAAAGCTGATATATAAAAATATCTCATAAATATTTATTAGGCTACCGTATATCGTCAGGTAAAGACGATTCACGTATAAGACAAACAACTAAGAAAATGTTTGTACGTCGGGTGTATAAAGCCGGTCACACGCTGTGCACGACGGTTGTCGGCCGACGCGATTCTACAGTATGATTCTTGTTTCACATGGCAGGTTATAGGCAGGCCTGGACTGCCTATAACTAAACTACTGTACTACATTGTTGTCCAAGGTAAAATATTCATGAGGTATTGTAAGCAACTACTGATCAAATACCTCATGTTTTTATATTTTGGGAAGTAATTAATTATAATTCCCTAGTCGGTGGATGAATTGTATTATCACCTTTTTGATTCATGTTGACAGTTATTCCCAATCTTCTGTATTAAATGATATTAAAATAGTGCTGGTGTGTGCAACCTTTGAACCCGAGATCCTGGTATTTGTGGACAATGTTTTATTTGACAAGACGAATGGATGATTTTGGTGCGAGGTTAAATATTTGGATGGATTTATTTGGTGTAACACCAAGGATAACCCACAGAAGTCTGAAGACTTGTTTCCAGTGGGGTCCTTCTGATGGTGATTGGGCAGCACACCCTGAGACAATCCCCTACTCTTCTCCAAAGAGTGTGCTGCGTTCTTTAACGTGTACATGAGCCATGCACACAGGACCAACGGTTTAAACGTCTCATCCAAAAGACAGTGTGCTACCGTAACTGCAGCTGAAACACAAGCAGATCAGCAATCATGAAGATTGAACCGTGGACATAGTGATCTCCGTGGGTTAGCCCGTACGCAGTGGCTACCACCAGCTTAGCCAACCGAGCTAGTCAGTTACAAATGTTATGTATTGTTATTTTTTTTTTAGGGTGCCATCATTGGCATAGATGATGAAGATGACTCAACATTTACCATTACCTGTGACAACAAGATGTTCCATTTCCAAGGTAAAGTACAATACAAAGCTCTGTCTACTGTAGCTCTATCTGTCTGTTTCTATTTACTGTAGTCATGATATGTGGCAAAGACAAAGCCAAACCAGTCACTCGTCGCAAAAATCGATTTTGAGTTATTAATACAGTGTTAGAGAGTAAAATAACAGCCTTCGAAGTTTATGATTTCAGGCATTTCTCATGCAGAAACTATCATCAAATTCTTAAAAAGTGTTGTTTTAACATTGAAAATGGGGAAAATAACAGCATAGAATGATGTATAGATATGTAAAGATTAGTTTAATGCAATAAAATAGATTTTTAAAAATTTGACATTCCAGCATGTTTTGGCCATTTTCTCTGAAACACGATTTGCGACGAGTGACTGGTTTGGCTTGTCTTTGCTACATATGCCTATAAATGGCCGTGGTGTGATGTCATCATGACCATATTGAAGCATGTCACTTGTTTTTGTAGAATAAAATTTGATAGCCTAGTTAGGACTTGCCGTGACCAGATTTTCAAATTTTCTTTGACTAAAAATCCTTTTTATTAATGTATATGAAACTTTTTTGAGATAAATCCATTTTTTATTATTTGTATAAATATTAAAAAATATATTTATTGATTAAATTTTTTTTTTACCAGCTCGAGATTCGGATGAAAGAGGTCAATGGGTTAGGTCACTTGAGGACACAATTCTACGACATTCTCACTATGAATATGTGGTAAGGTCTTGGATTGTATAATCCACTAATGTTTTTTTTTTTATCATCATCATGAGGATCAACCCAAATTAGTGTCAAACACTACTTTCCATTTGGGTCCTCGAACAAGTCACTTGTATATCAAACAAACATTTACACAGGTTGCTTTACATAATTTCAGAGCCCAGTCACACTTAATAGTGACATCAGCTCAGGGCTGCCTCCTCAAGGTCACAAAGTGTGAACAATAAATCCATTTTAAGCCAGCTCAAATGTGACCTAAATTCTGTCTGATTTTTTGGCAGTAGACACTTTGCTATCCTGGTCAATCCGGAAGTGTAAAGTTGACATTGTGAGAGTGAGTTGACATTCACAAAAGTGTGAAGTAAGAATCCTGAAGTGTAAAGTTGACATTATGTCACATTCATGATATGTGATATGATGTGATTATACTAATACCCGTAAACTCGGTCGTGTGTGGTATGATGCATTGCTAGCCAATTCGTCATTATATATCAGGCGCACAGTTCCAAAGGTTGGAAGTTAAATCAAGTAGAACTGAGAAAATCGCAAACGGGTCAACAGTTAAACTCAGCTCAGGTCGACACTGTTTTGCTTGTGGTTGTTCCAGTTTTTTTTCTTACCCTAACTCGGTGGTTTTTGAGTTAATGCTAGCTAATAACAATATCAATCATCAGTCAGTCTGCACAATTGGAAAGCCTGGATAATAATAAAAAGCACCGTTTCTATTAAATTTGGCTGTAGACACACACTCCCGCTGGGAGCCTATTTTTAAAGTCAACTTGATAATCTTCATACTACAGTATCTGCACTTAAACTGAACCTGGGTCGTCAAGGTCGTCTGAATAATGGCCAATTTTGACATCTTTATACCATAACATTTCAAGCAAAAACCCTGGTGCAGAGGAGAAAGTGTAAAGTACAGTATACTCTGAAAGGTCCACTGATATATCTCAGATAAGAAAGTATAATACATACTCCAAGTACTGAAACAGGATGGCATGTATTTCAATACTTGGAGTATTACGGTATATTTACAAGTATTCTCTGATTTTTGAAAAAAAAAAAAAATCTGATTTTAATGCATTTTTTTAAATCAAATATAAAGTACAGTTGAACTTTCCTAGGTCGTATCCAAAATGGGATTGAAAAATTGTTCGACTTGGATAAAATTCGCCTTACAGATAGTTAAAGTGAAAACATGACAATTTGGTATGTAAAATAAGAATGACTTAGAAATTATTTGAGTTTAATAGGCAAAGTCAACTTAGGCAGGTTTGTATGTCAAATCATGTACAGTAATTTACAATTAGTAGAAATCACTGATACAAAATTCTGAAAATTTGTAAGCTTGTAAATTTGAAGGGGTTTCAACAGAATTTCACTAGAATATCTCATACAGTAAGGCTTTCTTGGCCTACTGGTGAAATTGATTCAAGATAGCGAAACGTATTTTCAGATTTCTTTTTCCATATTTCAGTCTAGCTATATTATAGTTTGAACTTATTTACTATCAATGGTTAGCACAAGTACATACCGTAGTATTTGCTCTATTTTATCACTGTGTATACAGATCACTGGTTATCATTAATACATTGAACCTCAATTATGCTGTGACCTTTGCTTTTTTTATCAGTCACTTAATTGAACTACTTCTAGAGACATATACTTTGTAAATTCAGAAACAGAGTTGTCGTATGATTTCCTGTCAGTAAAAATCTTCAGTAGCCTTGGAAGTTCTAATTTATGGACATTTTTTTTCCAGTTGGAATAGTTTAAGCTGTTTAAAAAATCGTTTTGCAGCGGATCAGCAAAGGAATGTATTTTTCTTCTGTGATAATTTATTCATTTATTTAAATTTCTGCTTGATACTGCAATGAAGAGGGTTTATAAAATATGTTTATGTAAACTGAAGGTCATATTAAAACATGCCGGATTCATTCAAAGACTGTTTATAATCAGTGAGGTATAATGCCTATAGGTTTCGGATATTCCTGCCCATGTGACATGAAACCACAGATATTTTTTAAGATGAGATTCAGGAAGTAGGGAATTAGTTGAACAATTTGTTGGTTCAAATTGGCATGCATCGTATATTCTACTGCCTTTGGCAGCATCAATCAAAGCGGAACAATCTCAAGTGCCATTGATTAAATCTTACTACTCTTAATGTGCAACATGAGTGCCATCAAGAGGCCATTGCGTATCTCTATTGGATTGTAAATTACTTTTTAGACAATAAGGTTTACACATCTCATATCCTATTCTCGCACAGAGGACTCTTGGTCTCTTTGATTTTTGAGATTTGTGAGGTCAATGCTTCCGGCAGCTTATTTGGCTAAGTGGCAGTATCGGGCCACGGAATCCCCCATCGATGAAGCTGAGGATAAGCTACAGTTGAAGGTAATGATTGTAGGCCTAGAGTTCTTTGTAGTGTTATAAATAGCGAGCTTTTGAAATGGGCGACGCGGGGAGCTGTTCATGTCAACCATGAACGTCGTACTATGCACTTCCCGTCTCAACATCAAAGCTGTTTCGATTTACAGGATGACGCGCTTCCTCGTATGGCATGATCAATTATGCAGGCGCCCCCAGCAAGGGCAAATTTATAAAACTCACGTTGCTGTAGTCAACACAACGCCAAATCGCTTAAAGCCCGTTGTCAAATCCACACAACAAATGACTTCCCCATGTATTCGCATATGCAGTACAGTTTCACGCTTCACTGCCAGTCGTAGAACTCTGCGTCGTCCAAATCGTAAGCTGCTTAATACTACAGTGTAGGCAACAAGCCTGGTAGCATGCGTGTATCTTTTGCTTATGGGACAGAGCCACCATACCAGGATTTTCTTGAGTAGACATATCACAACCTGGCAGTGTTGTGTTTATCAAAATTTCATGTTGAATTTGTGTGAGATTTGGTATGATGAAAACAGTGGCCTAGTAGTATTGAACTAAGGGAGCTGATTTGAAGTGCGAAGGTGAAGGAAGGCTCTATTATACAAATGAGAGGTGCTAGATCGCAAAATATGTGGCAAAAACAAGCCAAACCAGTCACTTGTTGCATAAATCGATTTTGAGTTAGTAATACAGGGTTAACGAGTAAAATAAGAACTATAAATGATAAAATAATCATTTAAATCTGACAATTCCTTATGAAGTTAAAAGCGTTTAAACATACTGTACAACTGTTTAAAAAACAATATATGAGGAATCAGCCTGCAAAGTTTATGATTTTGATCATTTCTCAATTAGAAACTATCATGAAATCCTTAAAAAGTGTTGTTATTGAAAATGTGGAAAATAACAGCATAGAATGATGTATAGATACTGTATATAAGTTTAGTTTGTGCAATAAAATAGATTTAAAAAAAATTTCACCACAATACATTTCACCACATGACCGTGAGAGTCCACGTAAATTAATTAAACTATAAAACTCTCTAATTAAAAACGCTAATTAGCATAATGCACATTCTTGCTGTTTATGACATATTATTATTACGGTATGTTGTGATTCAAATTATTTCAGCTCTTTGTATGTATTTTTATATGATCGTATTTATACAAGAATACACACTATATACAGTAAAATATAATGTTACATCGACTGCTGGTAGATTAAGAAAAGAAGATAGTGGGGTAACACTGCTAATGGCATTCACTTCCCCCGCAACCTCCCCTAGATACACAAATGGATAAAACACGTTTACTAGTAAGTTAAAACATAATTTACATTTTTTAAAACAAGCATTTAGTTTCGACTTGGATGCTCTACAAGCTATATGGGATAGAGCCAGGATATTCTCTTTGGATTTTCCCATTCCAGGTCATATGTATTACGAATGCAATGAATAATGATAACTCACATGATATGATACAATACCCTTTGGAATTGTGAAACTCCACTAATGATAAACACTAAAATTATAATAAATTATGTTTCAGATTTGAACTTGTTTAAATTAGTTGTTTCATTTTAATAATAACACTAGGTAGACTCTACTTTCATGTCATATAGTTCAGTAGTTTTATTCTATTTGAAAGTCAGTACAAATACAGCGTGCAATATTTGAGTTAAGCTGGTAGATAAGTTAAGGCGCTAACCTTCCAATTATGGGGTCCTAGAGTTTAAGCTATAAAACATGAAGTACGATGCAAAACACATCACCACTCACTCACTTGCTTCAAGATTACTGTAGGTAAATAGCATTTTAATTATATCAAACTTAAAATTACAAACTTAAACTGTTCATTGTTTTTGTCATTAATGTATTTTGATTTAATGATAGTCAGGTTTTATTTATTTATTCACAATCTTTAATCAGGGTGGCCCAATCAGTCAAGTAGACTGGTAATAAATTATATATAAAAAAGAAAGAGAAACTGCTTATTTTAAATGAGAACTTAAATACTACAAATTTTGATAGAAGCAAATTTTATTGTTTGTTAATGTTATTTGTTGAGCTGATCGGTAGTAATTTAATTATTTTTGCAGTCACATATTTTAGAAACTTGATTTAATTAAGTTTTTCACTTTCAGTATCTTTTCAATTATATTTTTTTTTATTGTCAAATAAAACACCAGAATAAAAGTAATAACTAAAAAATGTAAATAAAAAGTTGTCATTGTCATCATTATCATCATCCAACATCATCATTATCGTCATCGCCTTGCAGCTGTAACCGAAATACATTTCAGCACACAATACCATGAGTGTCGAAATAAATTAATTGTACTATGATACTCTCTAATTAAAAACACTAATTAGTGTAATAATGCATAAATAATGCACATGCCCCTTTATGATGTTTCGTTTAAATCAGATTATTATATTGTGATTCAAATGATTTTAGTTCTTTGTATGTATTTTTATATGGTCGTTTTTATACGGGAATACACACCATAATAAAATGTAATGTTACGTCAACTGCTGGTACTGTAGTTTCACTGGATGGTGTGGTTTTAAAAGGCTACTAATACTGACATTCTTCACTAAAGTATGCCCATTTGATTTTTAACAAATTCTTTGTAGAGTGCTCTCCATTATGCCTGTGGTTGGCTTTCATTTTCATTTATCTAATTAATGTAACAATTTTTCTGAACTGTAATTTATTCTAATATTAAATACATTAAGAATAACCTTTTATTTTCTATTATTTAGTTCAAACCGCCAAAGGATACGCCGTCAATTAATGACTTTGAGAAGAAATTAGCGGAAGCAGATGCCTACCTACAGCTTCTCATCAATCAAACGGAATCCCTTGAAGCTAAGATGAGTCGAGTAACTACAGAAGTTGATAGACCAGAGCAAGACCAGGTTTTAGCTACAGCTAAGGTACAGTACTTAATCTCAAAATAATCATGTTTTATGCTATATAATTTGATATTTGATATTATTACTTAGAAATTTTAGGTTGTGATATAGTTGTTGTTTTTTCATTGTCATTATGAGTGTTAAATGATGTATTGATTACCCATGCAAAATATCCAAAAAAAAAAAAAAAAAAAAAATCATAAAAATTATTTTTGAAATTAACATGCCCATTTGAAGTAACATATTGTCACCTTAAACATAGAAATTAGTATAGTGTTTAAAAAAAGTTTACCCATAATTTTACAGCGAAAAATTATAGAAACACTTCTAATACTGGAATTGTTTAATTGTTTTTATTATAATTATCCAGTTAAAAAATCAGGGTACACTTTTTTAAATTCAATAATTTCTATGCTGAAGTTTTTTGTATGTTACTGCAAAATGAGCGAGTTATAATTTCAAAATTATTATTTTAATTTTTTGTCATTTTTCAATGGACAATACATCTTTAATATGTAATTATTATTAAATATTTAATATTTATACTTTATGAAAATTATCTTTTTAAAATTCAAATTTATTTCCTAGATACAACTTTTTCTTATACCTTGTTTAGCGAATCCACCGTCTGCCAATTGAATAAAGATGATTTCCAATAAAAATATAAATTTTTGGTTAATTCGTGCACCCACTGCCACAAAAAAAAAAAAAAAAAATGGGAATTTCAGAAAAGTAAAAGTTTTTTATTACTCCTGCCGCTGACTTGAAATCTCCAAAAATATATGTAATATTTCTCTCCAATTATACAAATTTAAAGCATTTAACCACCCCATTACTACACTGATTACATTCACCAATAAAATTTCATTTTTATTTTCTCCTTCGCCTGGATGTTTTTGGTAAAACTCTTTGCTGATTAATAATCAGTAATTACTTGTTTTTATTTATAATAAACCATTTTTTATTGATATACTTTACGTACTTTACGTTTGCTGATTGAAAATCCAAAATTTTATTTTCAATTTTTTCACCCTTTGATTTAAAAAAAAAAAAAGTTAGTGAAGCAAGGTATAAAAAATGTCTCACCGTAGTTTAAGGTATTCCTGTACTGTGCTCCCTGGTATTGTATTGTATTTCTTTGAAATTTTTTTCTTTTCAGGGTATGATCGAGTCCATAAAACAAGCAATAGTATTATTGCAAGTAGCCAAGGTAGGACTACCTTTGTGTTATGTTACTGGTTTACAATCCTAAATTTTACCATGTTTTGATATACATATAGTTAATTTTTACCAATTTTCTTTGTCCCATAACCATGGAGTTCCCCTTGGTTTTGTAAATGTTCTTTCCCAACCTGACCTCATGTTGTTACCCTTTTCTTCCTACTTATTTACCTAATAGTTCTGCCTTCCTTGTACTTTACCTTCATTGTGCATTTAACAATGAACATACCGACTATGTTTTTACCCTTATTCTTAATCTATTTTTTACCCTTGTTATCTTTATGCACTTTGTTCTTATACATTGTATTATTACCCTTGTATCTGGATATTGTTTAACTGTTTGTGTTGTTTATTTTTATTTATTTTTTATTTATTCAGTTCGAAACCAACAGCAATTAAAACTCCACTAAACAAGTTGAATCTAAACTAAAAATCTTAGTAAAATATATGTGTTAATTTAAACAATAATGTTAAAAATTGAAAATAAGAGATCGATTAACAAGCATTAAACAACTATTCATTTCTTTGGGTATATCATTGAAGAATTTATGAATTGTTTTAAAGTATCTTTGCTCTTATGCCTGTCCCTTGTTCTTTCTCACCCCTGCGTTGCCGCTTTTTCTGGAAATATTGTTTATTTTTTATCCCAGCGAACGGATAAAACAACAATTTGCCACTTCATATTTTTTAACTGATTGAGGCTTAGCCTGCACTTCCCAACCAGTAGAAAAGGCTGCCTATACACCCACAGGCTCCAGTACACTACCAGATTCAAAAATATGCTTCCAGCAGGAGCATGTGTCTACTGCCTAATTCTGTAGAAATGATGATGTTGAAAATGGTTAATATTTTTAATGGTTTAACATCATGAGAGTAAGTGGGAGTGTTGATATTATACTCTGATGCATTGATTATTCATTGCATACACGGGATACGCTACTGTAAACAGTACACCATGGTATATCCTGTTAATAATGATAATAATAATAAGGTAAGAACTTATATAGCGCCATTTAAAAAACCGAAGTAATTATCAGTGGCGCTTCATGTTATTGTTGGAATAAGTGCGTTAGATACATTACATACATTACAATGACAGTGATATCCTTATCCTGTTACCAGGACAACTGTTTCTGTTACTAACCACGGTCCACACATACCTAAGTTTAGATACATATCCACCTACACATGACCTCTACCGGAATTAGAAAGGTCAACTGTTGCGCGACAACATAGTGCCTACTGCATCCTGGGGGGGGCTTATACACAGGGAGTAGACACAAAAACAAAACAACACAGATAGTACAACAATGAATATTAAATTCTATTTTACTTAAAGACTAGTTTAGTTCATATTAATTAACATACATGATTGACTAAAAAAGAAGAAATGTTTAATACTGAAATTTTCTGCATACAGTGTAACTGTCAGGACAGAACAATGTACTGCTTTATTCTATTTATTTCTCTTGGTTTAAAACAAATGGAAATAATTTGAACTTGAACTTAAGTTATAAATGTTCACAGTGACTGTTGTCATATTTCTTTGTCTTTTCGAAAAAGGTCAATAATCTACTTGTGTACCAGCAGATATCATGAATTAGCTAACTTCTTCAATGCTAAGAGGGACTGTTGTGATAAATTCTGTTTCTAATACATACAAAAATATATTTTAATAATAATGATATAAAACACAATTTTAAATTTAAAATAAATGCTCGACATGTTTATTTTTGAAATTTTTCCCAATTTTCAATTTATTATTAACAAGTTTTAAATCTTGCATTAATTGCAAATTGCTGCCAGCAACTTTAAAAGATTGCCATCATCTGATCTGATAATATTCATTGAGTCACGACAGCTGCAGATTGGAGGAGGTCCACCTGTCATATCACTGGCTATTCTGGTGTTTCAGGACATGAAGACCAAACATGGATAGGTTCAAATTTGCAGGATTGATGGTACAGTACAGGGTTGAAAATTTAGGCTAATGATAATTTGTGAATTGGTTTTCTAGACACAAAGTCACAGAGGAAGACTAGGGGCTCGTGTTAGGTGTGAACTGTCTAATTACAGGCCTACTGGAATGACTGCAGTCTAAATTTGCTGTTGATAGGCACTTTTATAGGGCTGAAAGTGGTTGCTACTATTATTTAAAGTGCACATCTTCATATCACAAGAGAGATCGTATATCAGATGGCCTATTATTTCTTCATCTTTCTCTATTTTGAGTACCTTTAATATCTTGGTGTCTATTCGTGTGAACCTATGTATTGTCATTGTCTCTGATAAGGACACCCGTCCCCACATTTTTATTTTAACTTGTCAGACGACATATCATTGTTTCTTTGCTCTCAATCCTTTTGAATTTTTTGCTATGTCTATCAAATTGGAGAGACCACAGAAAGTCTGAAGAAGACTTATTTCCAGTGGGGTCCTTCTGGTGGTGTTCGGGCAGTACACCGGGAGACAAGCCCCTACATTTTTCCGATGAGTATACTATGTTCTTTACCGTGCACATGGGAAATAATGTACACAGGACCAACACCTTTTAACTTAACGTACCCTTTTGCAAAATTATTTTTTGTCTAATTTTTCCTCATTTGTCGCTGATATTTATTAAATTTCTAGAACAAAGTAGTTTTTACTCCATGTATCAGTTTTATTTACATGTTCCTTCCATTTTCTTTTTATGTGTTTGATATATTTCATTAGTGTTCTTATTTATTGATTGATTGTTTAAAATTTCATATGAATGGGTGGGTCTCTGTATCTACCGTAACGTAATTTGTTTTGATTTTTGTGTATTTTTAATGTTTTTTAATATTCTATATTATGATTGTCTTTTGGTTAAGGTGATACAACACATTGTCAGGCCTTGCCTTTGTTGTAATTCCTCCATCTTAATTTGTTATTTTATTGACGATGGAAAATAAAGATTGATTGATTGATTGAAAATATGATAATACTGTGTGATATTTTATCACTGTTTTTCTAGACATCCCTCTATCCCATTAATGGTATAATCCAGGGTGATCGAGAAGGGGAATCTGGAACGTCAGCTGAACAAGGCTCCATGCCACGGCCTACAAATTTAGGTGAGCAAAAATATGATATCTCTGTACCAGCACTTTATCTGTAGTATGTGGAGTTGTGGCTTGGTGGTTAAAATGCTTCCATTGCGACCTCAAGGTCGTGGGTTCAAATCATGTAACAGCACAGGTTTTTTATCTCATGATTAACATGCATCTCTACTGCCTAAGCCTCGAAATGAGTTTATAAAGCATCGTATTATTTTTTCAATTTCATATATTCAAGAGGGACCCTGAATATCAGAAAAGTTGGAAGGGTAAACCCTCTATAAATATACACCATTTTATCGGGTCTATTTTAAAAACGGTGCCACCAACGTCTCGCAACCTTTCACTGGGGGACATTCAGCAGCCTAGCCTGAGCATATTTCGTTTTTCCAGACACATATCTCCTTATGAGTACTTCGACATTCAAAAACACTGCAGGTTTTATGTGCCCCTACTTCCTTTTTTTTTGTTTTGGCATTTTGTTTTCAAAGACTAGCCTAGGCCTCTACAACAGCAAGGTTGTGCACCAGTCACAGAGCACAGATGAACACTATGTAGAGCAAAACTACGTAAAGCGAAATTCTATGGCCTCTTGATGTCCCCCCCCCAGTGGTACTGTAGTTGCCAGGTTTTCAGATAATTTCATTTCCAAATTTAGTGAAAATGGTGTATAGCTGATATAAATGATGAAAATGATTTATCTATTTTATTGAAGTGTTTTTCTCTCACTTCCCTCAGTTGTAACTACCAATCATAATGAATCTACCACCAAGCCACCTGTTTCAACAGAACAAACTGGCGTTGAATCACCGATTAGAGCGCAACTACGAAATGACCCCATCCCCACTGTATCCTACTCAAGTAGTGAGGATGAAGAATTTTTTGACGTTGATGAATATCAAAGGTATGAATTTGTTTTATAATAATCGTTTAATTAGATTTTGTTGAAGTTTTGTAGAATCAAATTTGATAATTTGGACAATTTCGCTTAATGCTCTTTCTTCCGTAAGTTTCTTTTCTTTTCAATGGTTATCATGTCTTATTATGACATATCCATTTCTTTTTGTCTTTTTTCAATACATTTATATTTGTTTGTTTTCCCCTAAATATTCTCAAACTCTCTTCTTTTGTTATTCTTTCTCATCAAGTTATTTTTATCATTAGTAGGTGCAACCACCCGCAAACCTTTATAAAGGTGGTTAGTTTTATATGCCTTATAAAAATTAATATTTATTTTTTTGTGATGGTGATGATATTTTTTATTCTCATAGTGATGACAATAAAGATGTATCGAAGAAAGTGAACGGTGCTGAAAAGGAGAGAGCCGAGTCTTTCTCAAGATACGATGAATCCGAAGATGAAGATGATGGTAAATATTCTACACAAACAGATTTCATATGTATTCCAAAGAATGCAATGCAAGCCTATATTTTTATGTCTAGTTATTACTGTCATATGAATTACTAATCAGGGGCGGATTTAGGGTCAGGGGGCCGGCCCGGCCCCGGCCCCCCCCCTTTTGAGAGGTTAAAAAAAAGAAAAAAAAAGAAAGAAAAAGAAAAAAACGATAGCCCAAAACGCCTCAAATGTTATTTTCGGGCGTCTAAAACACAGAAATTCGCGGGGGCATGCCCCCGGACCTCCTATTCCAGTGTTGTCTCGATCGGCCCAAATTTCGGCCCCCCCTTTTGGACATCTCTGGATCCGCCCCTGCTAATGACAATAAATTATACTGAATACCGAATAGTGATTTTATGATTCTAACTTTACTTGTTGACCTTTTTTTCCTGAAGATGAAAAAATATAGTTTGAAATATAAATCAAGTATATATTTAGAGTTTGTTTCTACCAATCTTATGTCAATCTTATAGGTAGCCCTCATGATTTCTGAAAAGATTACATCAGTGGCAGATTCAAGTAGAGACCCAGTTGGATGGTTTAGAAAACCAATAGTAGAGGAAAATAAATTTAAGTTTGAGAGTGCCTTTTCCAGACATGTCATGAAGGTGTCTTAGCCCGGGGATTTCGGACCTCAGCCCCAACTAAGTTAAGGCTTACGTGGTCTAGACCCCCATATTTATAAAATATCCCCCCTAGGCCACCTCTGTTTGAATTCCTGGATTATGCCAGTATATAAGCTTTAATACGTAAGTTATTTTATTTATAATTGTAGATAATAATATTAATGATAATGTTTGGAATTTTTTTATAGAGTTTCATACAGAAACTATTATCTACAAATGTCTCAATTCTTTATGGTTGAATTCCATTTAAAAAAAGATGGTTGATGTCGTTATATATTGCTGTTGTTTTTCATCTATTATCATGTTTTTTATGTCTGTATGGTATAACATTCCAAATGAAAGGTGAAAGAATTGTTTAGCGATATGGGCACACAAGATTGGCCTGAAGCGAAGTACTAAAAGATGTGATGATCCCAAAATTGGAACAGGGGAAATTGGAAAATGCAAGGTTGGTGACAAGAAAAAACCCGCCTACTGGACACATGTAAAGATGAGAAGGGTGGGTGGGTGAATTTAGAAAAGATGACCACCTCAAACAACTCTACAACAATCGACGAAAAATACTGTACGTTTTACAAAAATCAAATGGAACTATCAATTTGGACAGATGGATGCATACATAAAAATGGACATGTTTACACTGCGCACGAGAGAAAAGAACAGCAAAGTATTATACCTTACTGGCCCCAAAAACAAGTTTGTAAAACAAACCAGTGGCAGATCCAGGAATTTGAAATAGAGGGGGCCCAGAGAGGGACTTTCACAGATGAAAGGCCTATGGAAGAAAATTTATGATTATGGCACCTTTAGATTTGGGGAAATGGCACTCTTAGACTCAAAATTTAAGTAGAATTTTCTTTTTTTCTCAATTTTTTTTTTATTTTGAAAATGTTAGGGGGTGGGGGAGGGGCCCAGGGCCGGCTGGCACTCAGACAAAAAATTTGCGTAGAATTTTCTTTTTTTCTCAATTAAAAAAAAAATTTGAATAATTTAGGGCAGAGTGGGGGGGGGAGAGGGGTGGACCAGCTTGGCCCCCCCCCCTTGAATCCGCCACTGCAAACAGTTTTTCATGATACGTTACCTTTGTTCTCTTATAGTGATTGATTGTGAAAAGCATGGGAGTGTCATCACGCACCTCCTGTCCCAAGTACGCCTTGGGATGGACCTAACCAAAGTCGTGCTTCCAACTTTCATATTAGAGACGAGGTCAACTTTAGAGATGTATGCAGATTTCTTTGCGCACGCAGATCTATTCTCAACGTAAGTAAACAGATTTTGTTTTCCTTTTTATAAGAAAATTTTATTTATTTTTAAAAGGTCCCAAAAATGTATTTAGAAATCAAGTTCAGATGGTCGGAATAGGAAATGAGATTATTAGGTCTTTGGAATCTAGATGTTAAAAGCTAAGAAATGACGCAACAATTTTTAAAATCGGATTACAAATGGCAAAGATACGATAATTTATATTTTCGGTCCAACATGTATTAATAGACTACATGGGAATGTTAAATGACTGAAGACTATCTCTTTTGCCGACAAGCGCCTGGTTTTGCCAGAGTCGGTCACATTTATTAAAGTAGAAAAATGGCGTTTTGGGCTCTTCCTTGGTTAGTGACGATGACAGCAGCGACGGTAATATTTGGTAGTTTTGGATGGATCACTTAATCATTTTAATTCTTAATCACAGCACCAACTACAGTAAGTGTATCGCTTGTAATTATTGTTAATATATCCATTCCGTGTGTATTCCATAACGCTACTCTTTGTTTTTCATTTAGTATTTCCTCTATAGATGACCCTAAGGATAGAATGTTTCAAGTGTTACGATGGTACCTATCTGCCTTATCAGCCGGACGCAAGGGCTCAGTCGCTAAGAAGCCCTACAATCCAATCATTGGAGAGACGTTTCTCTGTTATTGGGATGTGGATCCCGAAAATACAGATCAGGTAAAGTACGGCTGCATTATGCTTGCTTTATACTGTATGCAAAACATTATGGAGTAAACCATTCTTGTAGTGTTTAGTATGCCTTATGATTTGTTGGTTCCTTTGCATTGACCTTTGACATATATGTAAGCAATTAATATGAGATTGCTTAATCAAATTGTACTGCATGTTAAAGTGTCATGGTATTGTATATATCTTGGTTTATACTACTGTTGTGCTCAAAGTATCATAGGGCTGTGCACATTGGATTCTTTATAGTGTGTGTGCAAAACAGATTGTGACAGTCAAATATTGATATAACTTGTGAGGATTGTGCTATAAATCATAGGATTTATAGGACTATCCTATAAGGTAAATTTCCCGCCAATTAATATCAAACAAGCGGTACTGGTAAAAAAGACAGTATGAATTATTGCTTCGAACAAGGTATCTATTGTAGAAGTCTGATGAAGATAGCCTATCTAATGGTTACTCTGATTTTTTTTTTCACCCATAGAATGACTTAACAACAGATGGCCCTTTACCCTGGGCTCCAAAAGACAGTGTAACTTTCATTGCAGAACAAGTATCCCATCATCCTCCAAGTAAGTATCTTACGTTAATTTACATGTCAACCTTGGTGTATAATAGTGGTTTGCGTTGGTTTGAGGGGGAACATCGTTTCCCCCCAGTCAGTTCCAAAGTATACTCCTTAACTCAATACTAGAATACTAGAAGCACCTCATTGGAAATATTATGTCTTCAGACTTAAAAGGGATTGTTTGCGTATTTCACACAAAGAAATCTAATCGACAATCCAATCCAAATATCTGGGCACCAATTCCACATATTTTTGAATGGTATCTTCTCATTTCATTAAACAATTGTTTTGCTCTTTTCTTGTTTAGATTTAGATTTTTGTTTTATTCTCTCTAGTATCTGCATTCTATGCTGAATGTTATAACACAAAAATGGCTTTCAATGCACATCTATGGACTAAGTCAAAGTTCTTAGGATTATCAATAGGCGTTGATATGATCGGGCAAGGTAATGTATACTTTTTATTTATAAAAATACATAATATAAAATTTATTTGCAATACAAAAATAGATAAATGGTATAATTATTCAATCAAAGAACAGCAGTAGGAACTGAGTTTTGTTTTTAAATTACCAACGCAAAGGCAATTGAAAAAGCTTAAACATTGCAATTGAGTTAAAGCATGAAGAACAATAACATTAACAATAAAAATGCTCAAATCTTTCAATATTACATTCATATTCAGAATGATTGTTACTCTTTCTAAGGAGCGACTATTTGGGTACATCCTACAATGGACCATATCCCCAGGGTAGCAGGGGCTGTGTTGATCAGTACACCGGTGTATCCCCCCTACTCATCTCGAATGATGTACTTGGTTCCTTTAAAGTGCACATGAACCAATTGTCTACACTGGCCTACGGTTTACAGTCCTTATCTGAGAAGACTTACTCCACCACCAAAACCAAAGGCCGGTATGCCACTCAAAACGAGTGACGATATTATAGCTATAGCTTTCGAAGCCCCTTCCTTCATTGCTCGGCCATTAGACTTGCCTTGGATTGAATTCACTCTTGTGCCAAGTATTGCTCCTGGTGTTGAACTACTTTGAGAATTTAAAAAAAATTATTTTTCTTTTCTAACAGAGTGTTTATCAAGCTCTAATAATGATAATGTAACAATTGTAACTTTTACCGAGAATGATTTTACTGGCTCTTTTTTGAGCTGAGATATAAAACAGGATCTCACAGAGCCAGATCCAAGATTTTTTGTTGGTGCAGGAGGCTGAGGAGGGGGTTGTACAGTATTCTATCTCCTATAAGAAGCCAGTGACTAATATATTCTGTTTTTGTGTCATGCATTTTATAATCATGTTTTTATAATGTAATGTATTTTTTTCTTAGCTTGTGCATCTGACCTGAAACATGAGGAAGACTACTTCTTGACTTTCCCTAGTGGCTATGGCCGATCCATCCTGACCGTGCCCTGGTTTGAAATGGGTGGCAAAGGTCAAATCGTATGCAATAAAACAGGATTCTCAGCGAATATAACATTTCACACTAAACCTTTTTACGGTGGAAAGAGACATAGAATTTCAGCTGAAGTTGTGTATGTATTAATAACTACGTTATCTTTGATAGTATAACTTCACCATATTGGTGTAACTAAAGCAAATCAATTTTTAAAAATTTTAGTTATTAAGGAATTTTACCAATCACCAGATTCTAAATACAGTGCAACCTCTAATTCGAGACCCCTCTAATTCTGAAACTCTAATTTTATACCATTTTTTCAAAGAACCAAATAAAAATCTTTAATCTTTGAATACAATTGCTCACCCTCTAAATAGAGACCGAACCCCGAAGACCACCCCAAATTTTTTGGTTCCAAAGGTGAACTTGATTTGGAGGCGAACTGTATTACTATTTGGGTAATTCCGTGTCAAATCAACCAGAGGTCCCAGGTTGACCGTCTCCGATTTTTATGAAACTTCTTAAAAATGATCCACTATATGAAAAATCAACGTACACAAAAGATTAGCCCTACTGGATATGTAGTTTCCGAGATATTGATGCCCCAAAAAAGGGGCGTGGCTCTTCAAGATGCGCAAATGCAATTTCCTCAAACTTTGGAAGCTTATAACTCAGGATTGGTAATAGCTATCAAGGTCAAACTTGGTATTCTAACTTATATTCCCCCATATTACACATTCTTGTGCCAAGTATTGCTCCTGGTGTTGAACTACTTTGAGAATTTAAAAAAAATTATTTTTCTTTTCTAACAGAGTGTTTATCAAGCTCTAATAATGATAATGTAACAATTGTAACTTTTACCGAGAATGATTTTACTGGCTCTTTTTTGAGCTGAGATATAAAACAGGATCTCACAGAGCCAGATCCAAGATTTTTTGTTGGTGCAGGAGGCTGAGGAGGGGGTTGTACAGTATTCTATCTCCTATAAGAAGCCAGTGACTAATATATTCTGTTTTTGTGTCATGCATTTTATAATCATGTTTTTATAATGTAATGTATTTTTTTCTTAGCTTGTGCATCTGACCTGAAACATGAGGAAGACTACTTCTTGACTTTCCCTAGTGGCTATGGCCGATCCATCCTGACCGTGCCCTGGTTTGAAATGGGTGGCAAAGGTCAAATCGTATGCAATAAAACAGGATTCTCAGCGAATATAACATTTCACACTAAACCTTTTTACGGTGGAAAGAGACATAGAATTTCAGCTGAAGTTGTGTACGTATTAATAACTACATTATCTTTGATAGTAGAACTTCACCATATTGGTGTAACTAAAGCAAATCAATTTTAAAACATTTTAGTTATTAAGGAATTTTACTAATCACCAGATTCTAAATACAGTGCAACCTCTAATTCGAGACCCCTTTAATTCTGAAACTCTAATTTTATACCATTTTTTCAAAGAACCAAATAAAAATCTTTAATCTTTGAATACAATTGCTCACCCTCTAAATAAAGACCGAACCCCGAAGACCACCCCAAATTTTTTGGTTCCAAAGTTGAACTTGATTTGGAGGCGAACTGTATTACTATTTAGTAATTTTTTTTTGACAGTATTATTTTCCTTTGATCAGTCAATAAATTCCAATAATATCAAGACAACCAAATGAAATTGTAATAACTGACAGAAAGACATCTGTTAAAGTAGGCTTTTAAGCAGGAAAAAAGTCCATGCAAGTTTTATTAAATCACTTTACATTCTTTATGCTTATTGAATGAACTATACAATGTAAAAATAATATTCTGCAATACACAGGGTCATTGACGACCATGATTTATTCATTATTGGTTTTGTGTAGGGCTGAGCTAACCTTATGCATGTCAATAATTTTTCTGATTTAAAGGATAAGAAAAATGAGAGGAGAAATACTTAATGGCATTGTATAACAATGTGCAACTTTCTTTCTTTGTTCAGTCATGTGTCAGACCCTAAGAAACCTATTTTATCAGTACAAGGGGAATGGAATGGTGTCATGTGTTCTAAAGGCCCCAATGGGGTAAGTTCCTATTATTAAGACCCTTTTTACACTGCCAAGGTCACATGCGATAATTCCGGAATGATACGGATGCATTTTAATTGTTTTTGTCTTGTTTTGTTTTATTCAGCATCTCCCACATGAATAAAGGAATAAAGAAAAGGATGCCATGGATAACCCATAAAGTTAAGAAAACTTATTCCAATGGGGTCCAACTACAAATAGATAAATAAACAAATTAATAAATAATTGGCAGTTTATAATAAAAATTCACAAGAAACATCAGACACAACATCAACAATATAAAACAAATTTAACTTAAACTATGCCTAATTTGCATCAAATGTTGTTCACACTAGCAACTCTGGCATGTACCCGGGTTGTCCAACAATGAATGCACCCTGCACATCGACGCCTAAATGTTTGGCAACCCAAGTCATAATTTTTGCCGTTTAAAAAACCACAACACTAGAGTTTCTAGTCCGGCTACTGGAAATTTGGCTTGCAGTGTAAAAAGGGTATGAAAGTTGAAATGTATTCTTTGATGTACATTATACAGTAGGTCATTCTTCAGTTACATTGCACATTGCCTTGGTTAGATATACCACTGTTTTATAACCCATGTTATCATACTTAAATTTTTTTGTATCTGAAAACAAACATTGTTGAAGAAATTACATGTGCAAACATTTATATATAATTTACGTTAAAAATACAAAATTCAAGACATTGTAAAAGGTTCCAGGTTCTTTTGACACATTCAGTGTATAGTTCTACATATGTAAATACTGTACTGGGCTAACAATGCACTGTACTTCCTTGGTAAAACTAACCGAAACGCTGATTAGTTTTACAATAATAGTCCCGTACGAATAGCCCAGGAAACTCAACTGTCAGAAAAGCCTACCAGTTAAATTTAAACAGGTTGATTGTGCACAGTAAAACTGGCCAGATCAATAGATGTTGTCACAGATTAGCGTCTTCAGTAGTTAATTGTGATGGCTCGATTATTTTTACTATTTCTCGCATTAATACTTGGTACAGACAGCGGTAAGATTTACCGAGTAGATACTCACGATCTCTTTTTTAAGCCCAGTGCAATTGCAGCTTATTTACAATAAATTATTTTTTTTCCCTAGAAATATGAAGAGCCTTTTGTTGATACTAAATCTATGAAGATTATTAAGAAGAAAGTGAAGCCAATGAGTAGCCAAGGAGAGTACGAATCTAGAAGGTAAGTAAAAAAAGTATAATGACTGTATTAACTAGAAACAATTTAATAATATGCTGACTTGAGTTTAGTTGACTCACATGAGTAATAGGAAGCTTTCGATTGCACGACGACGGTAGGACGTAGAACGTAATGACGTCACGAAAAGTCATCAACGCATGCTAGAAAGTTAAGGTCACCTCGTCGAGTAGATTCTGGAATGCAATTTGGCCAAATCTGCGTATGCAGATAACGTACAGCACCAGGTAGGACGGTCACGCATGAGTGATTCCATTCTAGCGTCGTCGCACAAATCGAAAGCTCCCTAATGAACCTTTCTTGACCGTCAATCATACTTAACTGACCAATCAGAACAGCACCTGGCATATGCACGTTTCCTACTAATAAACATATTTTTCTTTCGTCACACATGTTTACATACATTTACGCTATTGTTTTGTGTACCTTATCAACAATATCCACGGGAATGCTGCTTAGCGAAATAGTCCATTACACGCAGAATTCTCCTTGCATTACATAAAATCAACTGATACTAAACGCCCTAGAATGTGGAGGTAAGTTAATGTGGAGTCCTGGACTCTGAGCTGGTGGGCTGGTGTTTAGGTTTCATTCCTTGGTGTTTATGCCAGACTGTACAATACTTTAGAGGGTTCACAACTCAACCTGCACAGCAAGGCTGGGATGAGTCCTGTGGCTTAGTTTGTAAACAAGCACATATGAGATATAAGACCAAGTTACAATATTGTTTGTTGTATAGAGTAATAAATTTTAACTTTTACAAACTGGTATTATTATTATTATTATTATTATTAAATTCTTGTAATATGATATTCATCACTGTCAGGTTATGGAAGGATGTGACGTTTCATCTTAAAGCAAAAGACATGGAGAAGGCAACGGAAGGTAAACGATTCCTTGAACAGAGGCAGAGAGATGAGGCGAAAGAACGGAAAGAAACGGGTACTGTGTGGAAACATAAGGTTGGTATTGTGAATGTGATAACTTCATTTCAACGATTGTAAGCATGATTCTTGTGGTGAAGCGAATAAAAATGTGACTTACGCTGGGGACATAGTATGCTGTACGTCCTACAGCGGATTAATCCATCTTCACTTTCTGACAGTGCTTTTGACAATATGATGTCATCTGATAAGTGTTGGTGACAGACTTTTAGAAAATTGTCATTGTATAACACCCACCTTGTCGCACAGCCTGCTTCATGGAAGCTCGTCCGTTGATGACAGTCGATGTAGATTTCTTGGCTTCATATAGTTCATAGGTCATAATTCACGTTATTTGCCCTTGACATACAATTGCTCAAATGTTAGTAAGAAAAGGAAAACAAAATGATGTACAAAATATTTGACGCATCAAAATATTCTTAATTTGCAGTAGGCATATTGTTATTTTAATGGTTTTTTTTGTCATGTTCATATTTTTTTTATTATATCATATTTTTTATTGAGCGCATTTTATTGTTGTTTAATCATGTGTTGTCTTTTATCTTTACAAATTTCTAAGTGTGCATTTTACCAAGTTTTTTTAATCGTTATTTGACAATTTATTGTCATTATACTTTCTAATTGTTTGTATTAATATCAATACAATTTGGTAAAAAAAAAAATAATTGAGTATTAATTTTAAACCCAATGTTTTATACCCTTTCAATATTTTTTACCTATACATGTAATAAGTATTGAAGAATGTAAATTTTATGTAAATTTTCACGTATACATCTTAATTTCCACAGCATTTTCATGAAGATGGTGAAATTTTTGCATACAATCATCGCCTTCAATCAAGACTATTAGTAAACAAAGAAGAGTCTGCTTCCTGAAGTAGGTATATTTAGTGAGCACCAGTTATCTTAAGTCCATCGCACCTGAAGTATGTACATTGTAACGTCCTGGTTTTTATAGTGAGCTGAGACCACCTTGAGCTCTTCAATCTTTGAGCATGTACTGTCCTGATTTTTAAAGAGAGCATCAGCTTATCATGTTTAAGTTGTCCCCTTGAATATGTAAATCGTAATACCCCAAAATTAGGAATGGAAGTGGCCAATTCTTTATTGCTTCTGATTACCTGGTTTATAAAGTAATCAGCTTCCATTTTAAGTTTCAAATAATCACCAGTTGATGAAAAATTCACCGTCCATTGAATATGGTTCGAAATATATTAATAGATGTAGATGTGACATCGCATTAATTATGACACCTTTTTACTGTAGTTTTACATAGTTTACTTATCACTGAGTGGGTAGTAGTTTTTCTACAGTGATATGCAGATTTTTTGGCGTTTTTGTGGCTTGTGTGTGACTAACACAAATGAAGCCGTTTACTGACACTGCTAGGCATATTTTGCTGCTACGCACAGCCAAATGCCACGAGCAAACCTTATTACAGTGTTGGGGAAAACAATTGAAGCCTAGACCTAGAAGCCTATGCCTATACCTAGGCTAGATGATTGAGTTATAAATAAAGCAATTAATGTCAAATTATTTCAGGTACTGATTGGAAAAATGAATTCATAGGAGCCATTATTTCCTTTAAAATAGAAGTTAATTGTCAGACCCTTCAGGCCTTCTGGCATTTTTTCAGGAAATAATTAATCTTTTGAGTTCTGTATTTCAACAGTTCCCTGACAATAATTTCAAACTAATATTAATTTTTATTATTATTTGAATTGATATTCTTATTTTTATTATTATTGTTCCAGAATAAAATGAAAATGTATTTCTTCTCACTCTGTTAATGGAGTAAGAATCAAATAAACCCAAATTGACACCTTTTAGAGCTTTGCCAAACTGATTAATCAGTAAATAAGCAGTCTGAATAAGAGTCTAAATCCAGGTTAGTCTCACTTTCATTGTGGCTGACCTTGAAAAATTTAAAGAATTGCATCCCTAGAAGACCAAACAATAGTACTTGCAGAAAATTTTTTTTCAATGTAGACCTATTATAATAATGACAACACTCTGAACTTAAAGACAATTTTTCATGATTAAGTATGTTAAATTTATGAAAACTCTTAAAATTAACTGGGAATAGGTTTTTTAGAACCTTGGAGATATCACAAAAGAGTGGAATATTCAAAAAACCTTGGAGATATCACAAAAGAGTGGAATATTCAAAAAAAGAGTGGAATAAGAAAAAAAACAACAAAAAAAACCGTAGGTGATATATGGGAGCCTCCCATCCAAACTGAGAGAGTTAAACCTTATTTGAATTAATTATTAAGCCTAATGTTTTTTTGGTAAAAGACTGTTAAAGCCAAGCTCCATAGGAAAAGAAAATTAATAATGTTGTAGAAATCGGTGGAAAAGGATATTTACCCCCAGTTATTTAAATATTCTAAAAATCTGTGTCTCATTAACTGCTTCTAAGTTCTTTGTCAAATATGCTTTTTGTGTCTTAGAAAAAATATCAACAATTTTTTCTTTCCCTCTGGAGCATGATTTTACTGTAAAACAAAAAGTATGACATTATAGTTATATGTATTCCCTTGATCATATATCACCATCAAATATTATAAATATTAAAATACAATTAAAAAAAAAAACTATCATAGAAATTTATTTAATTACATGTAGATATATAATTTATCGCATAATTGTTATTGTTCATATCTATCATACACTCTCAGGTAGCTGAGTGTGTGTGTTTTCTAGTACCAGTGATTGGTAAATATTAAGAGCACTGGAGCAATTGTCTGCGCTGTGCACTTTTATTAATTTTATTATTGAGGACTGACATTATTACCTCTGCCAAGGAGTCCATGTATTCTTCCATGTTTGTATGTTTGTTAGGGTTACAGGTAGAGTAAAACAAATTTTCTAAGCCAGACTTGATCTTGTAAACTTCAATGAGATTTTGAATTCCGCGAGTCGACTGACCAAGCAGCAAGGCAGTGACGCTGCCAACTACAGGCGTAACTGCTTAATGTGCTGGTTGAGACTCACGTCGCCCAGTGTTTTGCTTGGTTGAATTCTTGTCAGATAAGAAATTAGAACCATGGGTGCAGTGTACGCTTCTGGCTTGCAAGGGTCCCTGCAATTTTTTTTTTTTATTATTCTTTCTAACTTTACCTCTATGTATTTTACTGCATGTGGTGATATGGCCATATAAATTCAGGGAAACAATGAATACAGTAAAGATTGCAAATATTGTAAATTGGAGATGTGATAGTTAAAAATTGTTGGTTGGTTGTATGGAAGAGCATGCCAAATTCTACAACGCGTTTCGGTGCTTGTGGTAGCCAGGTTTTCCCTCCAATAAATACCACTTTTGTGACCGGGGTTTCCATGGTCTGTGGCAGGTTTGGTCTCGAATTAGAATAAGAAAGATAAAAGACATCAATTGTTAATATGGGACCACAGAAAAGTGGTTTAATAATTAGAGGTGGTCTTTAATTGAAGGGGCCTTTAATGAAAGGGACACCTATATTTATAATTGTTATTGTAATTTTTTTTTATTATTATTTTTTCATTATTTTATTTGTATTGATATATTAGTAATGTTTTATTTTACTTTAAAATACTTACATGTTGCTTACTTTTGTTTACTATTATTGTTATTATTACAAAGCTTTATGGTATAATGTATTTAAGTATTCTTAAAATTCCATACCACCCCTGTAATACATCTTAGATTATGTTTTTAATTTTTGTTTTGATTTAATGTAATCAACATAGTGATAAACACCCACCGCTTAAGGTCATTTTTAATAATTTTATTTAGATCAAATCTACCACCCTCAAAACTATATAATACCAAAAATATGTTAAATTTTGTCTTCGGAGTATATTTTGTTGTTAATAATTTCTTTGTTAATATTTCTACTCAAGGATTATTCATTTGAATTTAGTTAATGTTATATACTTGTTTAAAACATGTTTACTGTATTAACAGTCATGTTTAATTATAAATGTATATTACATTATTGTATGTTTGTAAATATAATAGTTGTTTTCTATCAAGATTCTTCCACTTTGGATGATATTCTGATAATGACAACTTAATCTTAATGACTAATAATTATTAACTATGTCTACCAGTGGTGGAGATTGGGGAAGAAAGGGTGCATTTAGGTATATCATTTAATCAAATTCCTGACAATTAGTAGTAACAGCAAATAACCTTGTCAAATAAAACTTTTAATTAAAAAAAAAAAAAAAGTTATTCAAAACCTAGTCGCTCCCCATCCACTTAGTATGATCATTGTCATACAAATACTATGCAACAAAACAGAGTTACGAACTTGCAAATTGCGTTGATGTTTCAATATTAAAAATGAGATAACAAGATTAAGACTGATATTCCATACAATTACTGCAGAAATAGACAGATGAGTAATACAGTATCACATTGTACCAAATACAGTAGTATTGAACTGTTAGAGGTCCGACTCTCGAGGTATTGTAGAAACGTAATCCTATTTCAAAAAAGTATACCACGAACTTGAGGGCGTACTCTAAAAGGCGAGTTTTCAACTCTATTTGAATTGTAATAAGGCGCCCCCTATCTCGTGGTAGTACAATTTTTAAGGTTTCATTCTGTGCATACAAAATCAGAGCAGTTGGACCTCTTGCAATTCTATACTCATTGATTGTGCTTACAACTGTAAATTTCCAGGTACGTACACATCGTGATGTTATTTCAATTTAGCACTGCCTTAATTAGCCTATGAATGATGTCGTTCCCGAGTTTTAGAATTTGAATGGTGTTTTATGCTGTGTAGAATGTCAGCTTTAATTCATAAATTTCTGCTGCAGTTGTATGTTAAACGAAAGTGTGCGGGGTGGGAGACAGAAATTGTGGTACTATGTTAATACAGTATATTGGTATAATCAGAATATCAACACGGCCAAGAACACAAATAATAGATGGTGATTTGGTTTGTAAGTTTGAGCGAGTTCTTACTTCATGCAAATGTTGAACTGAAATAAAAAAAAATGAAATAAAATAAACAAATATTAAATCAAAAATGTTCGATATTATATTAATTAAGTTTCGATTGTTTTATTTTCTGTATTTTTCTGAACTTTATACTATTTTAAAAGTGCGCTTGATTCCTTTAATTATCCATGAGTCATATAAAGTTTATATACTGCGACAAAATATCTAGAAAAACTATTTTAATCATCTTAGAATTGCTCAGTGAGTGAGGAACAGTAATTATCAACTGAATCACAGATTGTGGAAAAAATATACGAAGACAACACTTTACCAATTATCCTTGAACATAATATACAATATGGTTAAGAATTTGTGAGTTTAAGTTTTTAACACCTTAATTTCTGGCAGTGCTTAGTAAATGTTAATTGTTACAAGCAGGGATGGCGCCATGATTTTCCTGACGGCGTGGGGGGGGGGGGGGCGGCCGAGGTCCCAGACGAAGGAGCCTATGCCTCCGACGAGGGGCCAGATTTCCCAGACGAAAGCAAAGTGGGCGTGGTCGAGCTTCTACTAAAAGATTTTGAAAGTGGTCCAGGGGCGAAGCCCCCGAAAATATTGACAATTTAGGGGTTTCAAAGGCTTATTTAATGATTTTAGAGTTTATTAATATGTAGAAAATACATAAAATAAATTTTTCTCCCCGACAAATTGTGCTTTTTCTCGGGGGGGGGG